CCGTTTGCTTTGTATAACTGGCAGTTGAGATGGCAATCTTGTTCATGATGTGTCTGCATTCTCTCTCCTCCTTCAGTTGAAATCCCAAATCCCAAATCCCAATCCTAATCACGAATCCGTTAATTAATCTAGGGCAAGCATGAAATCTGGATGTTCCTCTTCCATGTCAAAAACAAAAAGTCGGGATTCAGATGTTTGTAGTCGGTCACGATGGAAAGCTGGTTTTTGGGTTGTCCAAATTATAAGGTATGCAAGCTGGTTTTGTTCTCTGTTGAAGTTATAGTTTTGTTCTCTGTTGAAGTTATGGTTTTGTTCTCTGTTGAAGTTATGGTTTTGTTCTCTATGTAAAGTTATGGTTTCAGTGTATATACCCCCACGGGTATATAGTGTAAGCAGCTTCAATAAGCATATACCCCCACGGGTATATAGTGTAAATTTCTGTTTCTGTTTTTTGATGTTTTTGTTTATTATTCATCATTCTCTAAACAATGAATCTTACAGGGAGGTATACAAGCTGGTTGTGGCTTCTTTGATTGGTTTTATGAGGAGGTGGGTGATGAGAATGAGCAATTTTGGATGCATAGGCTGGGTGTGGTAACTAAGAGACTTCCTGAAGCAAAAAAGGACATTGAAAAGGCAACAATGGAGAATGAAGAATTAGGGAAAAAGCTAATGAAACTTGAAAGTGAAATGAAGAATATCATGAAGTGGAAAAAAATTTTGAATTTGATGTTTGTGATGATTATCATTGTATTAGTTGTTAGGGGTAGTTAGGTTATTACGGTTTGTTTGGAAGTATTATGTTTAGTTAAAGTTTTTATGACTTCAACATGAATGTAATAGTTGGATTTTAGTATATGGATTGTATCAGTTTAATTAATTTTAGTTTTTGCAGTTCAACATGAATGAATATAACAGTTTTGGATTATATCATGTCAAAGTATTTTTATGTTTGATATATAACAGTTTTGGTCTGTCAATGTGTTTTCTATGTTTGGTATGTAACAGTTTGGATTGTATTTGGTATAAAACAGTTTGGTATATAACAACAACATACATAAAGCAGCATACATATAACAGTTTGGACTTCTTTTAGGTTAAAGTGTTTTACCCAGTTTTTGTTATACATATAACAATTTTGGTTATACATAAAGCAACATACATATAACAGTTTGAACAATGTGTTTTATCCAGTTTGGACTGCTTTTAGCATAACAGTTTTGGTATATATTTCATAATACCTATTTGGTATATAGCAGCATAACAACATAACATCCTATTTGGTTCATTTCATAAACCTGTAATACTTTCCAAAACAACATGTTCATGACAACAGTAAAATATAACAACTGTAGAACTTGTTCATGACAGCAGTAGAGTACAACATGTTCAAATTATAAACTTGTTCATGACAGCAGTAGATGTGGAATCAAGATTCAAACCCTTCTATGTTTTGATGAAGAAAACTCATACAAGTTTGACGAGCAAGATACTTTCACTATATACCCGTGGGGGTATATGCTTATTGAAGCTGCTTACACTATATACCCGTGGGGGTATATACACTGAAGATAAAATCAGTATTCATTACAACAACAGTAGAATGTAATAGACTATGTTCAAATTATAAACTTGTTCAAATTATAACACATAAACTTGTTCATTACAACAACAGTAGAATGTAATAGACTTGTTCCAAAATGACAGCAGTACAATACATAAACTTGTTCTAGGTAACTAAACATGTTCCACAACTTAGAGTTTCTTCTTTGGCGTGGTCCTCTTTGTTGGAGTAGACCTCCTTGTTACTGGGCCAACAACATTCTTCGCAGCACTCAACCTAGTTGTAGGACCAGGTGGCACAAAAGGTCTTGTTGGCTTCCTTACAGACAACTTTTGTGTCTTGCTTGGCTGAGATGCTTGGCAAGATTGTTGAGTAGGCTGAGATGGAGTCTGACTTGGAGTCTGAGTTGAAGTAGGAGTGTGTTGACTAGTTTGTTGAACAGTCTGAGATGAAGTCTGAGTTGGAGTTTGATTGAGTTGGAGTTTGTATGCTGTTAAACAGGCCATGCAATAACATATAATGTAGCATATAAGTTTGAATATAACAGCAGCACACTTAAGTTTGGTATATAGCAGCATATTTATAACAGCATACATAAGTTTGGTTCATATTTGGTATATAACAGCAGCACACTTAAGTTTGGTATATAGCAACATATTTATAATAGCATACATAAGTTTGGTTCATATTTGGTATATAACAGCGACACACTTAAGTTTGGTATATAGTAGCATATTTATAACAACATACATAAGTTTGGTTCATATTTGGTATATAACAGCATCACACTTAAGTTTGGTATATAGCAGCATATTTATAACAACATACATAAGTTTGGTTCATATTTGGTATATAACAGTTTAGTCTATAGCAGCAACATACATATAACAGTTTGGATAAGTTTGGTTCATATTTGGTATATAACAGCAGCACACTTAAGTTTGGTATATAGCAGCATATTTATAACAACATACATAAGTTTGGTTCATATTTGGTATATAACAGCATCACACTTAAGTTTGGTATATAGCAGCATATTTATAACAACATACATAAGTTTGGTTCATATTTGGTATATAACAGTTTAGTCTATAGCAGCAACATACATATAACAGTTTGGATTATATTTGGTTCATATTTGGTATATAACAGTAGCACATTTAAGTTTGGTATATAACAGGATATTTGGTATATAACAGCAGCACACTTAAGTTTGGTATATAACAGCAAGATACCTATAAACAGCAAGATACATATAACATCATATTTGGTATATAACAGCATATTTGGTCTGATATGAAAAACAACATAAGAATAAATGAAAAACTTGCCTTTTGTTGGTCTGAGATGAAGGTGTAAGTCAGGCATTCATCTTTGCCTCCAAGGTCATCAATTAACAGCTCTAAAAACCAAGTCCAACTATCCTTCTAAAGCACCATTGTCATCAACAAGTTGGTTCATCCCAAATTGAGGGTCCTTGTAAAATATTGTTTCAAACTCCCTATAACCTAAGTCTTTCAATACACCAACTAGCTCAAAATAACTCCATCTGTCTACATCTACCTTCAAATCATATACTACTCCATTCTCATATACACTACGACCTTCATCTGTGAACTCACCACTATGATGAATTTTCAGAGTTATGTATTCATCCATGATACCTAATCATACCAGGTAAGAATTAACGTTTAAATCAGAGAACCCTAAATCAGAGAGAAATGAACTAACCTTTTGAGATTGGATCTTGAATCGTCTTCAATCCTCAATAAAAAAACCAGGTCTTCTTCTTCAATCGTCTACCATCGTCTTCAATCGTCTTCACTCTTCAATCGTTCCTTCTTCTTCTGGGTAATGGTGGGTAATGAACACCAGAATCGTCTTCACTCTTCAATCGTTCCTTCTTCTTCTTCTTCAATCTTCCACTAAGACACTTCACTTCACTTCCACCTCAGCACTCCACATGGACAAACGTGACAATTTTTTCAAACTCAAACTAACGGCAACAGACGGAAGGATAAACGTGACACCATTTTAAAAGTTAAGGGACCAACTTGGCACTTTTTAAAGATAAGGGACCAAAGTGGACCCCGAGTTAAAGTTAAGGGACCAAAAATGTTATTTTGCCTTTAGAAAAAGTTTAACTTTTATTTATCATTTTACTAAAAAAGTAATTCAATTTTAATCTTTTAAAAAAAGAGTTTTTAATTCTAATTAATGATTTTAATTTTGAAAAAAAATCTAAATTTTAATAAATTCTAATCCTAATGTTTAATTACATTCTTTGTTAAATAATTTAATTAAAATTTTAATTTTCATTATTAATTACCAATAAAAAAATAAATAATTAAAAAAATAAAATAATAAAAAGAAAAAAAAAAGTAATAAATAACTCCCTTTTAATAGTGTGGCTCATTGTGAAATCATAGCTATTTAATTTTTTTTTAATTTCTTATTAAATTGGTATTTTTATTGAAAAATATAATTTGTTAAAAAAAAAATTCGTAACTCATGTAATAATTTATTATTTCCGAGACCTAGTAAAATTGAGACAAAAAGGAGAAAAAAAAAACGATATAAAAGGGGAGTAACGAAACCAAAGTAGAATTGGGGTAGGGGAAATTGGGAGTAGCAGTGAGCGAGGGAAGAAAGTGCTTGAAGCTGCGAGGAAGAAGGTACTAACATGTGGATAATAACACAAATCTGAATCAAAAAGGGTTTTTATCATTATATGATGTTCTCTTTTTATAATAGTTTTCAATCTGAATCACGTTCCTCTCCTTGACGCTCGCAGTTTCTCCCCTCTCCAAGTTCTTTCAACTCCCAACAGCCCCATGAGCCTTGTGATGATGATCTGAAGGCGTTCTTAATTTTGCGTATTCATGTTAATGAATTTGTTGTGATTTTGATTTTTTTTCATATTTCTCTGAGATCTAGTAATGTTTTGTAAGTGTTTTTCATCTTTATATTGTTGTAATTGTTTTTGTTTTGTTGATTCTTTTGTTTACTTTTTTGTGTTTTGTTTTGTTGTTTTTTAAGGTTGCACTCCATGGGTTTGTTTTGTTGTTTTTTAAGGTTGCACTCCATGTGTTTGTTTTGTTGTTTTTTTAAGGTTGTTTTTCAAGGTTGCACTCCATGTGTTTGGTTTTGTTGTTTTTTAAGGTTGTTTTTCAAGGTTGCACTCCATGTGTTTGTTGAAATGCATCTTTTAAGTATTTGGTTTTTCGAACAGTAATTTGAGTATTGTGCTTATGGTTACGGCTAGAAGCTTTATCATTCTTTCAGTGACTTATATGAACAACAAGTGGTTTTTGGGTTCAGTGACTTATAGGAACAACATGTGAATTTTGGGTTGATTATTTTTTATTTGAGATCACCTATTTTTGAATTTAGCAAAATCAGTCCAGAAAAGAGTTTCAAATTTTATATCACAAATATGCAGAGCACCATGCAACATTCTCTCATCTCAACCTCATTCCTTCTCCTTGCAATTACTTTCTACACCACCACCACTTTAGCCCAACTCTCCCCAATTCAACCTCCAACAACATCATCATCACCACCCTTACGATCAATCACAGCATCACCGCCAGCACCATCACTGGGACTAAACACAGTTCCACTTGTACCAACACCACCAACTGGTGCACCATCACCTCTCATTCTCCGTCCTAATTCGCCTTCTGAAAACAACACAATTAATCAACCAACTCAGCTCACAGCTAGTATCATCATCATCGGGTTCAGGAGGTTTAACGATTTTTGCACCAGAAGACAGACAGTGACTTCTCCAAACTCAAAGCAGGATTCTTAAACTCTCTATCTGATAGACAAAAAGTTGAACTCTTACAGTTTCACACTCTTGCTTCATTCATTTCAATCTCAAACTTTGATACTTTAACCAACTCTGTTCATACACAAGCTGGTGATGATGCTAGGCTTCAACTTAACGTCACTACTTACGGTGGAAATCAAGTTAGTATGGCTACTGGAGCCGTTAATGCTTCCGTTACCGGTACTGTTTATACTGATAGCAAACTTGCTATTTATCAGGTTGATAAGGTTCTTCTTCCTCCCTGCGCCTGGTAAGGGTTTGCCTAAGACTGGAAAAACTAATTCTTGTGCTGTAGATGATGGTAGTAGTACTGGTAGTGACGATGGTGATGGCAAGGGTTTGCGGAAGCTTCTGATGTAGGGTGCGTGATGATGTCGGTGAATGTTGTTGTGCTGTTGGAATGTGTTTAGTTGGTGGAATTTTTCTGTAAGGTGGATTTAAAAGAAGGACTCGGTTATTTCTTGATATGGTTTTTGAGATTCTGTTTTGTTTTTGTGTGTGATTTTGTTTTCAATTGAGTTTGTTTTACTATATTTATTCTTCTTCTATGTTCTTTTGTATTGATAACTTGTAATTTGTGTTTCTTTCATAGATTATTGGAAATTGGAATCAAATTTTTAATGAGGGACTTAGCTCTTGTAAATAATTTTTCCACGGTAATGATTGAGTGCTCTTATACCCCAGGTTTCTTTGTTGATTTCCTTGTGCCAGGTCAGAGTAGTAAGATTTATTTTGCACTTATCATGAAATCAAACCAACATTCAAGTTCCATGATCAAACGAAACTTTTCTTTGAGCATACACAAAAGATAGATGACAGGAAATTTTCATTACAACGACAAAAATCTATTTAACAAAGATTACAATATAGTATAAATAGTAAATAATAGAAAAAGACTAATAATATCTAATATCTTCTTTCAAACTCATGGTGCATTAACAAGAAGGATCGATAAATTGTCAATTATGAATCGAAAATGTTCAATGAAATACATCTTTGTAAATAAATAACAATTTGCAAGGAGGAGACGAATTGTAGAGTAATTGTTCTATGTTGAAGATAGCGACGAGTCAAGTGACAATTAATCTCAATATACTTTGTACGTCCATGAAATACTAAGATGTGATCTCAATATACTTTGTACATTTATGAAATACTAAGATGTGAGTCATTGAGTAGACTTACAATCACTAGATAAATAATGAGAAGGGGGAGAATCACTAGATAAATAATGAGAAGGGGGAGGATCAAAAGTCGTGGGAGGTTGCTAGGTAACTGAGGAAACAAGAGAGATGTCAATATGAGGATTAACAATAGTATCAAACTTGTAGTTCTCAAAATTACAATCACTATAAATATTATCATTAAGACGAAAAGAGTTAACAGTTAATATGAGTGAGTTCTAAACTACTAGTAATATGAGAATCAAAAGAAAGTAAAAAGGGACGAGTTCAATAAAAACATGACGAAAAATATAAAATTTTCTTGCTTAAGGATCATAACAAGGATTACCCTTTTGATCATCCTCTTAACCAAGAAAAACGTATATGGTAGAAAGAGAAGATAACTTACTACGTTCTATTTGTGGGCAAAGAACAAAACAAGTAGATCCAAACACTTTTAAAAAAGAATAATCAAGGATAGAATCATACAACGTTTTGAAAGAAGACAAACTTTATGTGATAGACGATGGGATTTTATTAATAGAATGAATAAGAATTAATTTACCTCAAAACTTATTGGAAATCAAAGAAAACAACAAAGGAGAACAAGCAGTCTCAACAATGTGTCGGTGTCTTCTTTCAGAAACTTCATTCCATTGAGAAGTATCGGAACAAGATGTCTGATGAGTAGTATCATCATATGCAACTAATTCAAGGAATTTCTTAAAGGTATATTCACCATCTAAATCATAACGGAAACACTTTATGACAACTATATGTTGGATTTTAACCATCGCGTGAAACATATGATAAATTTTAAAAAAATATTCAAAAAAATTATTCATAAGGTAAAATCAACACTAACGAGTATAATCATCAATAAACGAAACATAATATCTAGATCCACCTTTGGTAAGAAACGGTGATAGACCCCATACATCATAAATAACTAAGTCAAATGGTGCATATGAAATAGAAACACTTTTTAAAAAGTATATCTGAAAATTTTGCAAATTTACAACCACAACAATCAGAAATATCATTGGTTTGTAACTTTCCTAATGATCCATTAGAAGGAAAATATTTTAATCTAGAAGTAGATACGTGTCATAGAAAGGAACATTGTAAATATAAACAAAAAGACAGAGAATTTTAATAAAAAAAAGTTAATAAATCAGTAGTGGATGCAAAAGTTGAGGGTGTGGTATCTGAGACTCTCAGCTAAACCAAAACATAAAGCCTGGATGCAAAAGTTGAGGGTGTGGTATCTGAGACTCTCAGCTAAACCAAAACATAAAGCCTCATGTCTATGACATGTCCCAACCAGTCTCTTGACATGTGGATAACGCACACAACAAGAGGTGGAAGAAAATGTAACAAAATAACTAGAATTTAACATTTTACTAACACAATCAAGAGTCAAAGTAAAATTAGGTGTATAATAAACATCAAAAAGTAACACATTAGTTATAGAGACAGAACCAATGCCAACATAGATGAAGTATTATTTAAACACCCAAATGATTTATCTTCATATCACATATAATGATATGCTCCACAATTAAGGATCCATATGGAAGGAGACATACCTGATAGACTTGAAGAGTTCAAACTTTTTATAGATGAGCCACAAATGACATGTGACTAAGTGGAAATCATATATTTGAGAAGTGGTTATATATATATATATATATATATATATATATATATATATATATATATATATATATATATATATATATATATATATATATATATATATATATATATATATATATATATATATATATATATATATATATATATATATATATATATATATATATATATATATATATATATATATATATATATATATATATATATATATATATATATATATATATTGTTAAATATATAATTCTTTGTTTTAGAAAGATTATATTTGATTTAAAAAGATTAGATTAGATATTTTTGGGATTTTAAAGTTTGAGCTTTAGCTTGAGATGCAAGTTAACCTAAATCCATAAATAGGGAGGAACCCTTATCATTGTAATCATCAAGTTTGATAATCACAGTTTTGCAGTTGCAAAGTGATAACAAAATTTCACGGTTGTGGGCAGAGAGTTACTTTGCGATTCATACTCATCTTCTTTAAATGTGTTTTTGTTTTTGTTCATTGTCATTACATAACAACATTGAGATCAAGATTGAGAAGAATTCACCACAGATCGTGGTTGAATTCCAACATCTGGTATCAGAGTCTAGTTTTGATTCAAGGAAAGAACAACTTTGATGGCGATAAATCACCCGAGCTGTCATTTTCCAGCAAATCTATCAATTTTCAAGAAAGATAATTATGAGAATTGGTGCAAGCAGATTAAGGTGGTTTTCTGTTACCAAGATCTTTTGGCTCTTGTGAAGGAAGGATTACCACCACTTGTAGAAACTGCGAGAGATCAAGAGAAAGCAACATATACAGAATTGAAGAAGAAAGATTATACAACTCTCTTTATAATCCATTAATGTGTTGATCTAGATAACTTTGAAAATGTTAGTGATATAGAATAAGCAAAAAAAAAACTTGTGAGATTCTTGAAAAATCGTTTGGAGGCGTAAAGAAAGTGAAAGAAGTGAGGTTACAAACTCACAAAAGGACTTATGAATTGTATCAGATGGAAGATAATGAAACTATAACAGATTGCTTCACCAGAGTTACAAAGCTGGTGAATCAAATCAAGGTATATGGATAAGTGTTGACATCAAGATCAGTTGTGTCAAAGATCTTGAGGTCATTGGCTCCAAAATTCGAGCACGTGGTAATAACCATAGAAGAGTTGAAAGACTTGTCAGTATTGAAAAAGGAAGAGCTTCAAGGGACGCTTGAGTCTCATCAACAAAGGATGACTGAAAGAGCTGCTGGAAAGTTGAAGAGTGATATGGCTTTGCAGGCGCAGTCGAAAAAAAAAGGAAAGGCAAAGGAAGCTGGAATGGCAACAAAGGTATAAGAGGCTATACCAATTCGACTGGTCAAAATCAGCATGAAGGAAATTGTTCCAATCAGAGAAAAACCTTGAACAAAGGCAACCAAAGAGGTGGTTTTGCAGGTAGAGGAAGATGTGGTGGTTGAAAGCCTGACAAAAGTCACATTCAATGTTTCAATTGTCAAAAGTATGGTCATTATTTTAGTGATTGCCTAGAAAAGAAGAAGAATCAAGAAATTGATGCGAAGCTGGCGAAACATAAAGAAGAAGAGATGTTGTTGATGGTCACAAAAATAGAAGAAGAGAGATTCTAGAACTAGTGGTACTTAGACTCAGGATGCTTATCACACATGACTGAAAGGAAAGATTGGTTTTTCAACATGAAGCCTTTGTCAAAGAACACAATGAAGTTTGCAAATGACAACACTCTAGCAGCTATAGGTGTTGGTGATGTTCAGATCGTGAGGAAGGATGGCAAGAAATTAATAATTTCCAATGTGTTATACATACTAGTCATGTTCATAGATGAAAATTTGAAAGTTGTAGACTTACCTCATCAAGAAGATTCCAGGCAACAGATACTTTATCAAGTTCATAGATGATTACAGTCTAAAGTTGTAAACTTACCTCATCAAGAAGAAAAGTGATGAGATCGAGGTATTTTCCAGATTCAAATCTATGGTCGAAACACAGAGTGGTCGAAAGCTGAAAATTCCAAGGACTGATGGTGGTCGAGAGTATGTGTCGAGAGAGTTTGATGCATTATGTGAAAAAGAACGGATTATGCATGAGGTAGTGCCACCCTACACTCCACGGCAAAATGGAATTGCAGAAAGAAAGAACATAACCATCA